GTCGTGGGACCAGCAGATGGTGTCGGACACCATGAGGTAGCGCATCAGCTTGGCGTAGCGGCGGGAGACGCAGCAGGCGCGGAGGACGCTCTCGTTGCTGGGGTCCCAGGCTCCGAGCGTCCCCACGATGAGTGTGTCCACCGTCACGTTGTAGCCGCGGCCCCTCAGGGTGTCGGCTAGCGGGGCGTACTTCTCCTGCTTGCGAGCCCGGGCGTCAGTGAAAGCTTGGCACCGGTTCTTGAAGGGGATGGTAACGTCCACCATCATGATCTTCTTGGCCTCCTGGTCGGTGATGACGATGTTGGGGCGCAGCTGGCTCTCGCAGCCCGGGACGGTGCGGTTCACGGAGATCTCCCCCGTCCCGGCCGGGATGGCCCTCACCAGGCGGTCCTACACTTGATCTGAGCCTTCAAGAGGCCGAGAAGCGATACTACAGAAGGCCCACACCCAAGGTGATAGACTTTGCTGGTCCTGATGAAAGTGACATTTTATGTATTGAACTATTCTAAATAATGAGAATGAAGGCTCCAAAATAAGAACTTATTTCCGTTCATGAAAGATCTATCACTTTGAAATGGTGTCTGGTGTGATTACTAATGTAAATCAATCTTGCTTTCCTCTAAATCCTCCATTCAAGTGCTCTGATAGGATCAACATTAACACTCCAGCTCCTCAAGCACAAAACTCTTGATTGCCACATTCAGACTCACAGAAATAAGGTGTGGAAAATGTGATAAGAAATGTATGGATTTAGTTTACTCAAGAGATAAAGAACTAACACATAGGCATTTCCATGTCATAGTCTAATTATGGATGAATTTGTGGTCAAGGTCAAAATATGTATAAAATACATTTTATTGTACTCTAAATTTTGGTGGTAATGACCAAAATCAATTAAGTATGCCGATTTTTACAAAGATATGCTCTATACTGCCTAACAGAAATTTTGTTCCACAAAAAAAATGGCAGTCTAGAGCTAAAACAATAGAAAAATGCTTACCTTAAAATAACTGAAATCGAATATGATATCGCCATACTTCTGTTGATCAGCTTTGTCTTTTAGCCTAAACACACCAGGAATAAACTCAGATAGTCTCAAAAGTTCTGCAATGATGGCATTCCCACAGGAAACAATCCTAAGAATTGCCTGGCCACAGAGATTATTTTCAGCTAGAAAATCAACCATCTTGAAGACTACTGTGAAAGGATAGCAAAATTACTGTAATCCGTCTGCAAGCTTCAGTCTTTAAGTCATTTAGAGAAAAAATCGTCGCTGGAAAATTGGTTGCTCCATTAAGAGTACCTGCAAAAAGGAAAACAGGACAAAAAACACAGAACCATGTTCAGTATATTTCATATTCATACTTTTGATGACTGGATTCATCTGGAAAAGCTACTGTATTAGAACTCTGTGTCCTCCAGAATCTCAGAGTAGATGGCTTATAAATAAAACATACTGTAGTCTATTTTCAATGTATATAAAACACTTAGCCAGCATCATGAGCTTATGAGAAACAGTTGCACAACTTCCAATACCGAAAGATTTTAGAACAACTGCTAAAGGACAAAATAGTCTCAGATGCTTATAAAGTTGAATCCATCTATTCAGAACACCGTTACAAAGTTGGTACTGTACAAGATGAGTTTAGAAACTATACAGGATGAGCACAGAAACTATTTTCATAGTGCACCAAGACAGTTTGTCAATGTGGCTAAACACTTGGGGTGTGTGGAAACTGAATGCAGTTCAGGACCCCTTGTTTGTTTATTGCCAAACCAATATCTGTTTATCCCAAAACTCTGTATTATAGATAAGGTAACTTGTTGGTAATCTCTCTTCAAATCAGAAATCTTATTTTACCCAGTTAAAAAAAAAAAAAAAAAGCACGACAAAATCTTTCTCCATCATAGTTGACATAGAGATGATTTACTGTACAGCCCTTATTAACACACTGGGTAACCACAATTATCCTATATTACAGATAAATTAGCTGAGCCACAGGGAGGTTATATGACTTGTCTGAGATCTCACAGCAAATCTATGGCAGAGCTGGAAACCAAACCCAGCTCTCTGGAAACCCAATCTGCAACTGTTGCTAGAATATATCCCATGGAGTCCAAACAGGACTTTAAACAAATTATAGAGCAGGTCTGCTCAAATAACATTTTTTTGGCATTATTTCAGGAATAACAAACCAAAATGCAGAAGGCAGAACAGAATTATACCTTAAAGAGATGCATACGCCTTCATAAGCAACAGCTCACTTTTTCAGATGCTACAGCACATTTGAATAGCTAGTCTATATGGTACAAGTCTACCTTGCGTTCTGCCTGACTTCAGACTAACATGACTCAGTACTTTGCCAAAATAAAAATACAGACATTACCATATTTGGCCCTAACTCATTTGTTTTCCCTTCACTTGTCTCTCAGCTCAGCCAATGGGAAATCCACAAAGTCACTTCCACTTTTCTTTCTTTCCTTCCAGAAAGGCAGTTGTGGGAGTGGTAGTCTGAAGTCAGGCAGAAGGCAGAGCAGGGTGGCACCTTCAAGACTAACTGGCTTGGAGAAACATGAGCTTTTCACAGAATCATAGAAAATTAGGGTTGGAAGAGACCTCAGGAGGTCATCTAATTCAGGGGTTTCCAAGCCCCAGGCTGTGACCTGGTGCTGGGCCGCAAAGGGTTGGATGCTGGTACACAGGAGGGCTGGCCCATCCGGCTGCCACGGTTGAGGTTTGGTCCCTCCCTCCTGCCTGCCGGATGAAAGTGTCTTTATGGTTGTTCCAGTCAGAAGTTCCAGCCGTGGGGCCCCGCACAGTGTCACTGGAAGTGACTGAGGACTGACAAACTGTGGACTGGAAGTGACTGGTATATGGTGGACTCGGTATAAAAAAGGGTTGGCTGCCGGTCTGCAGCCACTTCCAGTCCACAGTTTGGGACCCTTCATACAACCCGCTGTTCAAAGCAGGACCATCCAACTACACCATCCCAAACAAGGCTTTGTCAAGCTGGGTCTTAAAAACCTCCAAGGATGGAGAGTCCAGCACGTCTCTGGGTAACCTGTTCCAGTGCCTTACTACCTTCCCGTTGAGAAAGTTTTTCCTTATATCTAACCTAAACTGCCCTTGCTGCAACTTGAGACCATTGCTCCTTGTTCTGTCATCTGCCATCACTGAGAACAGTTTAGCTCAGGGTGGTTAATTATTTGGACCCACAGGCCACATAGGCAGTTTTGAGGAGCTGTTGGAGGCTGGTCAGCACCTCCCCCTCCTCTGCCCCACAACAGCTCACCAAAGCCAGAGCCCATGGGCCCTGCAGTTCCTCCCTGCCACTGCCACCACCAACAGTGCCCACTAGCTCTAAGCACAGTCCTGGCCCCAGCCCACCCCACACCCGCTCCAAACTCACCCCGGCTTGAGTGGACCAGCTCCAAACCAGCCAGGAACCAAGCGCGCAGCCCCATTCCCATCTCGTCCCGCTGCAGACCCGTCCTGGCCAGAGTGGACCAGCTCCAGACCAGCCCACAAATGTGCACAGCCCCGGCCCACCCCCGACCTGCTCCAGACCGGTCCACCTATGATGAGCAGCAGCAGCCTGGCAGAAGTGGCTATGCAGCACGGAGGAAAGGCAGCCGCCCCCCACTCACTGCTGCTGGGACCGTTTTGCTGCGGCTGCCTGGTGCCCAGCACCTGGTCGCCACTGCTGCTCTTCATGGGCGGGTGAGCTGGAGCTGCACGTGTGGCTGGTCCAGAGCTGGTCTGCTCTGGCCAGCCCAGGTCCACAGCAGGTGCGGGGTGGGCTGGGGTCGGGGCTGCGCACGCGGGTCCCTGCCAGTCTCCCTGGGCTGGTGGCAGTAACTGGAAGGAGCCACGCCAGCCATGCTACACACCCGGGGTGGCAGGACACACGCCACGGCCCGACAGCCCCAGGCCAGCTGGGACCAAAGGCCCTCCGTATCCAGCCTGTGTTTTGCCCACCGCCTGTCTAACTCCATCCTGAAAGGAGCCAGGGTTGTATTTTCAGTCAGTTCTTAAAATGTTTCTTCTGAGTTCACAGTTTACACAGATAACGCCTGCTCCAGTTTGCACGAGCAGGTCCCAATTCATAAGCCCCATTGCCCGGCCCTCCAACCGCTGCCTGTGCCCTGCGAAAGGGCCCAAAGACCTGGACACGCGCCTTTCGGGGCGACAGCCTGTTCTGCGAGGCGCTTCACACGCGCGTCTCAGCCAGAAGACCTTCCCTGCCCGCCACATCCCCGGCCCCCTCGGGGGGGGGCAGCGACCCCCAGAGCGGCTCATCTTGGGGCAGCCCAATTTGGGGCCAAGCCCCGGTGTAGCCCCCACCCCTCCCTCAACCGTTGCGCCCCGCCGTGCCCCGCAACCGTCTCCAACCGTCACCCCCCACCCTCACTCACCGCTCGCAACGGCCTCCGCGGCCGGGCCAGGCCGTGCCTCCCGTCACGTGAGCGGTGTCACGTGAGCGGACGAGGCAGGGCCTGGAGGCGCTGGGCCTGGCTGGGCTGCAGGTGGGTGCTGGGGGAGGGGGGTCAGGTCGGTTCGTATCTCCTTCCCCAGCCCCCGCAGGCAGCAGTTGAGGGCCTTTGCGGCACCCCGGGGTGTGTTGGGCTCCTTCGGGGCTTCCCCACAGTGGTGCAGACAGGGCTGCCAGAGCGGGTGTCCCACATGACTCTGGCACCCGAGGCAGAAAAGTAGCTCTGTTATTTTTTTCCACAGGCACAGAGAGGCATCGTTGTCGTCATCATCATCTGAGGGGCCTAGTGTCTGGAGCGGTGAGCGCCGCCGCACCTTAGGGTGGGAGCGTCCTGTTGAAGTTCAGTGCCACCTTGAAGATGTCCCATGGAGCCCTTGGGTGGCTCTGGACTCCCGCGGGAAACTCCCGCTCGCCTCTGTGGAGTGCGAGGGTCTGCGGCTGCCGGTTGCTTCCGCGGAGCGTGAGCTGCCAGTTGAAGCAGGGCAGCCTGGCTTTGTGTGGGGATGGCCGACCTGCACCGCCTGAGCATGTGCTGTGTGACAGGTTGGGCAGGGAGCAGAAAGCAGAGCAGTAGGTCAGATGGGGAGGGGAGTGGCCCCTGGGGAAAGCACAGAGCTAATTTGAGGGCTGCCTGGCAGAGCGGTTGGCCCCTGCTGATTTATCTTGAGAAACTTCCTTTTGTTATTTTAAACCAGAAAGCCGGTGATGGGTTAAACTGCAGCCCCCCAGGCTCCCACCCCGTCACCGTTCCCTGCACAGCTCCTGGCTCTGGACTTCCTTTCACCCTCTGGCTTTTGCAGCCTGCTCACGTCCCAGGGGACAGGCAGTGCAGCAGGGAGCCCGCAGCGGGGTGCACAATCTGTGGGGGAGCTGCCCCCACACATGGTGTAGCAAGGTGGGGATTGCTTACGTGTGTACAGCTTGGGGGTCCTTCTGCTGTGGCCCATGTGGCATATGGCTGCTTGTAGCACATGTGTTGCAGGCTGGCCATCCCTGTTTTAAACAAAAGTTTGTGCTTTGCAGAAGCTCTGGGCAGCTGTTGGAAAGTTTCTACCCAAAGGGAGCGTGCGGGACTCTTCCAGCTGAGTTCAGAGCTGGCTAAGGGGTCCTCACATGGTTCCTTAAAACCTAAGGCCTTAATTTTCCTTCCAAACAAGCCAGTATTACACAGATGCAGTGCTTTCTTTCTGCCTGCCGGCGAGCCACAACCCCACTGCCTGAGTAAAGGCAGTGCTCAAGCTTCAGCAAAGTAAAAGTGACCAAAATCTTGACAGTTGCCCTACAGTCTTCCAGTGTCCTGGTTTTCTGAGTGGGCAGCAGTGAAACTGAAAACAATCCAGTCAATTTTGTTTTCATGAAATTGAAAAGCAGGAGCAGACCTGGGTTATTTACTAGGGAGGAACACCTGAAAATGAAATGAAATATGTTATCATGCACATGGCAGCAGCAGATGAACAGTAGAGTAGTTGCTTATAAGAATGAATGGAACACCTTAGGCTACAGAAAAGGGATTTGTTTTTTTTAAGAGGTGGGGAAACACTTTCTAATAGCAAAGGTGATTTAAGCAATAGGATAATTTTTCAAGGGAGAAAATTGATGCAGTGTCCCTAGAAGTGTGTAGAGTATCACAACAGAAGCATACTTGTCAGCTGGTCTTTAAATTCTCTCTCTCTCCGCCATGTGAATCTTGTCTGAAGACCTTGTTTCTCAGTAGATGAGAAGGATGAATGTTAAGGGATGGATGGGAAGGGAGAGAGAGAGAACAAAGAATATATTTATCCCTTATCATTAAAACAAACAAGGAGAGAAATGACTAAGTCATGTTTAGAAACAGCTTTCCAAGCAAAGTGGCTGCTGAGAGACGTGAATAAAAACCCAGTGCTTTACGGGAGGAAGCAGCGTGTTAGTTCAGTCTGGCTCTGTAGCATCTGTATAGATTGTGCACTTCAGCAGGGCTTTTGGGCAATTTTATCTAACAGCTAGATGGATTCGATCAGGTAGTAGATAAAAGCACCAGAAAAAACCCACCGAAGTGCCCATTTTATACAGACATTGGGCAGTCTGGGGCAAACTAATGCAGTGCATCTTCTGAGCATGTGCTGTGCTTGGTGCAGGGTGCTGTAAATTTAAAGCACTGTTTTGGAGGGTCTTTTTGTTTTTTACATCTGTAAGTAGGCAGTGATGATGGGGGGCGGGGGGAAGTACTTGAATCCCTTCAAGATTGAGCTGGAAAACTTTATGGATGGTTGACATAATAGGATAGGGAGTTGTGACTCAATCAGTTGGTGTGACTTGTGTTTGCAGTGCCCAGGTTGAAATACCTCTTTTTGCAGTGTGGCAGGTGTACTTCAGAGCTTTTGCTAAATGCCAGTTCAGCCAGGAAAGTCCCCCCCCTCCCTGTGAATGCTCTTGGATTCATTTTTGTTTTCCTTGCATTTATCTGAACATTGGGACATTGGCCACAGCTGAGGTGGGGTTTGAGTCAGGTGCACTGATGCTCCTATTGTTATTTAAAAAAAGCCACAGAGTTTTATTCTTTTGCTCAGATGCATATTGATCTCCTAATTTAGACTCAGGAAGCAGTTTTTCCCTTAGGTCAGATTGAGACAGAATGTGTTCATGCATCTCTGTGCATATATGTGTGTGGTGTGCCTTCTGTAGCTTGGAGCTTGGTTCCAAGGATGCTCTCAGCCTATATTAACTAATCACTTTTATATCTTCGTGGCAAAGTCTGGGGAGAACCCTAGTCTCCTCTGATTTTACTTACAGTAGGTTATAGAGTATTCTTGGCGTTCCATGTATTGTACCCTGTAGTTGATCTGAGGGTTTAAAGTAGCTTTTTAATGGAATTCTTGCCTGTGAAAGCAGGGAACTGGACTCAGTAACCCAGGAAGTCTCCTTGATCTTCAGAGACAGGGTTTTTTTTTAAAAGGAACCCTTCCCACCTCTGGTTTGACAGTCTGTTAGATGATATTGAATATGGTAGTAACTACTCTTCCTAGGGGAAAAGAGAAGCTTAAGTTGTGCTGGACTGGATCTGTTGGAGTCTGAGCCTGCTTCTTCAAAGATGAACAATACATAAGCAAAAAGGGAGAGAGAAGAACAGCAAAGATAGCTAGCACCAGAGAGTGCATTTTGCCTTACTTGCAATTTTGCTGCTAGTAACTGACAGACATAGCTTATGGTTTATCAGGCACTTGAAGTCTAGGCAAACTTGTATGAGTACCAAGCTAGTTAAAAGACTGATTTTAGCTGTCTCTTTGGTTTTGAGGTCACAGCAGTGTTGCAGAGACAGTTTGGGCAGACAAGTCCATACTTAATAAACAGAAGGCAAAAAGGGAAGAAAAGGGTACACAGCATTGTGCCTAGCAGCAGGAAAGCAAGTCTCACAGTCCTGAAAGATTGCAGAGTCCTGGGTCTGGTTCCTGGCTTGGTCTGGCCAGGACACCTCAGAATGAGGGTGATAAAGGTCCAGTCCTGGTGAAGCTGCATCCTTGAGTCCCAGGAGATGGGGGGGTAGCATGACAGTAAAGCTCAATTCTTATGGTCTATATGTCCTGCTGGCATCAGTGTCAAAATCTGGAGTGCCAAAAAGTGGGGGATGTGTGGAACAGTCTGTCCTCTCATTATTATTATTATTATTATATCTAATTTCCAACACCCCAGTTTTGGTCTGTTAATTTTTGCTTCTGTGTATCTTCACACAGTCCTTGCATGGAATCCATAGAGCATTTGGTTTGGAGGAGTTCAGTCTTTTCGGCTTTAATTTTTGTTGACTTATATATAAATCATTTTACTAGAGGTACATCAGTACATCAGTCCATATCATATCAGTACTGATAAAAGGAAAATTGACATTATTGGCAATCAGCAATGTTGGTAATTTTGGCTGATGTGGCTGATAATGTCACAGATAAATGCTGTGTGCATGCACACAGCCACAGCATGCACATGACCAGAAATGCAGCCTGGTAACTTGGAAACCAGTATCTGGCCAGTAAGTCTTTGGGGGGGAAGGGGTGTG